GGCGGACCTCGCCGGACCTTTCCAAACGCCTGACTCGTCGCTCAGGTCACCCATTGAGGTGCAGCCCCCAAGCTTCCAGTGAGGAGCTGCGTGGCCCCGCTCCGGCCGGGCTCAGCACATCCGCTCCGTCGGCCCCCGCGGACCTCGGCTGCTTGACTAAGAGAGGTCCTTTGGTCCCTGCGGGTCCGCCCCCTAAGGAGCTGGCTGCCGGCGGGTGACACCCCAGCGGCGTCCGCGACCGGGACAGCCGAGCCCGGCGCCCGCACTGGTCTCCGCAGCAGCGGCGATCTCACCCGAGAGCGCGAAAGTCCGTGCGAACCCAAGTGAAATCCCCCCGCTTCTCCCCTGCAGACGAATAAAACCCAAACCTCTCAACAAAAACGGCCAGACTACTGGGGATCTGGCCCGGTCCACGCATCCCTCCTCTCCCACGGCCTGCCCTGGTTCTGCTGGCTCCAGGCCGGGCACTTGAACTTGCTAATCCAGTCCCGCCAGCAACACCCTCCTCCCTGTCAGAGCCGGCTCCTGTAGACCCAAGCGGAGACAGATCCTCACTCCCTTTCAGTCACCCTCCCACCCGGCCAGGTCTGCAACGTCCCTGTCAGTCCCAGGTCATCCCCCTCTGGAAAGTCATTTCTACCGTCTAGCGAATTAAGTATTACTTAAATGTCTGCCCGAATATATAAACATACCCATATGATCCGCCTCCTTTCCAACCTAAATGAGTTTTCCCTTATTTTTTTTTTAAGATTTATTTATTTATGCATACAGAACTGGGGTACAGGCCAGAGGGGCAGGGGCAGTGAGAAGATTCACCAGAGAGCAGGCAGATCCAAGTACACTGCTGAGGGGGGCAGTGGGCGTGTCAGGAGAGGTCTGCAGTGCCTTGTGGGTCACCTTCTGGGCAGGGATCTAACTCTCAGGGAAGCAGCTGCTGCTCACTTGCAATGCGGCATCCTAACCCGCTGTGCCAACAAGGTGGGCCCCGAGTTTTCCCTTTTTTAAGTGCAAAGACATCCTCAAACAGCCATGTCAGGCTAAGTTATATGCCATTTGGAAATTTTGTGTTAATCTTCCAAAGCTGATTGCGCTAACTGCCATAGTCTCTTTGAATCACTGCCATTAATCAGTGAATTTCCTTTGCTTTGACAAAAGGTGATTCTCCACTCCTATTGGATGTAATCACTGGTATCCATAGTCAAATCAAGGACACAAAGGGAGAGGAGTGTAATGTCCCTGGGGAACACAACTGGTGGAACTTGAGGGGAGAATTTATGTCATTAGCTATGTGTTTAATGTGAACTGTGAAAAAACAGAATCGGGTTTATAGCTTTGGACTGAAAGACTGCACACTTTCTCTGGATGGAAACTCAGGATACTCTGGAGGAGGTAGGAATTCAACCAGAAAGTTGTTAAGGAGGGAAGAATCACTTTCTAAAATTAGGCTGATGGATGGAACACAAGGTCCATCTGGAATAATGACCTGACATATCAGGCCACCAAGTAAAGTACTAGAGGCTTGCTGTGAGGCCCTGACAGGGCTGGGACAGAAGCAAACTGTCCCTGGCACTCTCTGTCCCCTGTCTCTGTCGCAGCACTAAGGTCTGTGAGTCTCAACTGGGAAAAACCAGTTTCATTACTAACCAGCTTATTTCTGGTTTTCCATTCATTGTGATACCTGTAACTACTAGTCATATGTGTCGTTGGTAAACTGAAAACTAACGTAAGGGTCTGCTTTTGCTGAGTGCGAGGTCCTGGGCACTGGTTCCCAGGGGCTCACGTTCAGTCCAGGGTTTGCCTTTCTCCCTGTACTTCCCCATCAGTTGCCTTATAGGCCATTTTTAAAGGCATTAATACATTTTCAGTCCTTTCTTTGGAACACTGGAAATAAATAAACACCTATTCGGCAGGAATATATTAAAAAGTTAAGAAAACGGTGGGCTCTATGGTACAGATGACATCTGTGGGCCAGAATGCCGATGCCAGGGATTTGGGGGTGAAGTTTCTAACTGTGCTTATTTACCATTGTTCCTCCAGAGTGTTTTGTCATGTCTGCCCAGGGGTGAGCGTGCCCACCCTGCATGGCTGCAAGCATCTGGAGATGTGAGTTAAATTCATAGAGCACTGAAGGAAATTTTCTATAGAAATAAAGCATGTCATTTATTACAGTTTTACATAGAGGCACATAGGGGTGCACCGGAGTCCTGGAGTTCAATCAATGGCCTGGAGTGATCAGAGGGTAGCTGGATTCCAAACCTTGCACATTCTGGTCCAGGGGTGACTGAGGAGCATGGCCAATATAAAGAAGGATGCTAAGAGTGAGCCCTTGGCGACACATTGAGGTGAAGGTTCCCCTGCAAGGCAATGAATGAGTCCCATGAAGTACGAAATTATGTCCTGACTTTGCTGGTCAATATTTAGGTAGAAATAAACTAGAGCATTTGACAGTGATCATTTCTAGTGGCTACACTAGCAACAATTACTGCTTGTTAAAATTTTACTATTTAAAGTTTTCAGTGACTATTATACTTTCTGTTAAAGTTCTTCAGTTACTACAGAATAATAAATGTTTCAGAAGCCCCCTTCACCCTACCTTGGTAATAGTGGGTCAGTGGATAGAGAAGTTGCTGCCAGCACACCTCGTTTCTGTCACAGTCGTATTCTGTGAAGTTGATCTGGAACCTAGGAAACATTGTGGGAGCTGCTGATAAGAAGCTTCCAAACTTGACTCAAGAAAGAAACATCAGGGCCCTCCCTGGTGGTGCAACCAATTAAAGCACAGCACTGTGAAGCTAGCCCCAGCCACTGCAGCACAAGCTTGATCCCCAGCCAGAGAGGTGACCCACATAGTGTGGCAAACCTCCCCTGACATGCCCACTGCTCCCCTCAGCAGTGTATTTCAGTACATCTGCCTGTTCAGCTCCCCTCTCTATCTCTGGTGAACCCTCTCAAACACGGCATCTCTGGCCTATACCCCAGTTCTTGTATGCATAATTAAGTAAACCTTTGAAAAAAAAAGAAACATCTATCCACAGTTCAAATGTGAAGTTCAAGTCAGTGCAAAACATTTCTGTGTTAGACTACCAGCTGGAGAGTAAGAAATTCACAGAGGAATATCTTCTTGGTGTCTGTGAAAGAGCATGTTCTCCTGGGTCAGTGAGAAACATCAGACTACGCAAGAGAGCTCAGCGGAAGCTGAGACTGCAGGAAATAACTAGCACTGGATGCCACAGCCTAGACTGTGCTCTGCTCTCTAGAAACTGGCAGGTGGGTCCCTGGCACGTTCCTGCACATATTGTGACGTGAACCTCCTTGTTAGCATAAATGTGACTTTTTTAACCCTCCCCCTCCATAAATGTGATTTTTTAAAAAGATTTATGTATGCATACAGAACTGGGGTACAGGCCAAAGAGAGGATTCACCAGAGACAGAGTGGGAAGCAAAACAGGCAGAATGACGAAGAACGCTGCTGAGGGGAGCAGCAGGCAAGACAGGAGAGGTCTGCTGCGCCATGTGGGTCAGCTCCCAGGCTGGGTTTTGAACTTATGCTGAGGAGGCTTTCTAGTACTGTGATTTAAACCCACTGCACCAGTAGGGAGGGCTCATCAATGTGCTTTTTTTTTTTTTTTAAGGGGGGACTTCTTATCTCCAAATACATGTTTTCCTTTTTCTAATAATGTCACCCAGGTCAACAGCCAGATTACCTTGTAAGAGGACGGGGTAACTGTGCTGGTATTTTGATGAACTGGACCGAGGCACTGAGTGGGAAGAAATCAGCCGTATCCTCACAGGTGAGCCCACACTGGAACTGCCAGCTCGCCGAGGAGAACCTGGTAAAAAAAAGATCATTGTTTCACCGCCATCTAAGCAACAGCAGCAGCCCGCCATTTTTGAGGGCTGGCAACACCCTGGGCATGGCGCTAAGCCCTTGATGCATAACACGCGTACCTGCACCACATAATTCTCAAAACAGCCCTACAAGGTGTGCATGGTAGTTATTTCTGCCACCTTTCTTCTGGAAATTACACCCAAACTTTCCCTTTACCTTGGGGAACCACCCCTTCCCACTCCCAGCTGGGGTCCAACCTTAATCTGGGGGCCTGTCCATTACTGGATCTAGCCAACCAGAGCACCCTACCGCCCTGACTGCAGCCACTGATTCAGAAAGGAGCATATGACCCAAATAGTAAAAGTCTGTCTAGGCATTTTTTTAAATTTATTTATTTGTGCACACAGAACTGGAGTACAGGCCAGAGGTGCAGGGGCAGTGAGAGGCTTCAGCAGAGACAGGGTGGGAGCAAAACAGGCAGATCGATGAAGTACATTGCTGAGGGGAGCAGCAGGTGAGACAAGAGAGATCTGCTGCACCATCTGGGTCTCCTCCAGTGCCGGGGATCAAACTCACACTAAAGTGGCTATACTTTAACCCGCTGCACCACAAGAAAGGGCCTGTCCAGGCATTTTTAAGAAAGGTGGGAATGAGGCACTTCCTGTCCCCGGACTTGCTGCATGGAAGTCTGGAGTTTCTGAATCTGTCTTTGGTAACTTTTGGGGGAAATACCCTGAGATAAGCCCATCCAAAGCAAAGAAGAATGAAGAAATGAAGAGAAGACTCCTGACCTCAGGGAAGCATGAGCTGGTGGCATGTGACTTTTCAGAAACCTTTTCAGAACCTGAACCTGTGAAGCCTCCTTCTGCTAAAGTCAGTGTAAATCGGGGCTCTGGCACCTAAATTTGAGAGTGGCCTAGCACATCAGCATATGATCTCTGTTTTACAGATGACAGTGCAGCTTGGCAGAGGTGCAGTAACCACCGAGGATCCCTGTTGTCACAGTGGGTGGGCTAGGGGAGATTTAAGCAGCTCCCAGAAACTCCACTCACCAACCACTGGGCAATACCCCCAATCACACTGCCTGTGACTCTCCCAGACTTAACACAGGCCTAGCGCTAAGGGGGCCCAGCTGCGGCTGGCATACATAGCTCTCTAAATATTCAGTTTACTCACCATCCACTTACACGCAGCATTGCCCAGGGCTGTGAGGGGGCGACCTCCCTACTCCACAGAGCACCCTCAGCTATACTGGCTAAAGGGCACATCTCTAGGATGGGTCATACCTGGTCTCCACACTAAGGATCTCCTGTTGAGTAACCCCCTCCACGGCGCCTGTGTCCGAGAAGAGGATGCGGATGGTCAGCTGAGCAGGGATGTCGGGGCAGATGCCACCGAAGTCACCAGCAGCCGGGCCTGCGCCGGGATCAGGGGCCTCTGCACCTATTGAAAAGTGGAGTGTGTGAAGAGAAGATGTGGTGCCTACTTCCCTGGAATGCAGGACACTACAGTCAGGACTCACTCTGAGGGGACTTCCAATGCTGAGGAACACAAGTCCTGACAGCCCCCCAGATCCAGAAAGCTTCCCTCTGCATTAAATGTGCATTGTTGGCTCTAAATGCCCTGACCCACATCCTGGAACCATAAACCATGATCCGCCCCCAAGCTGCTCCTCACTGAGGTCCACCTGCTGCTCCCTCAGAAACAGAAATCACTGTGGTAAAAATGCCCAAAGCCCCAGGCCACATGCAGGCCAGGCCACCACATTGAGAGAGGCTGCACACGACTCTGAGCATTAACAGCAACCCCTTAGAGGGTCGGCGTCAAAGGCCATTCCCTGGTGTGTTGCAGGAATACAAATGAAACATTAATTTTCATTCATCTTGAAAACTGGCATGATGAGGGAGAGACTCCATCATGACTGGGGTGGGAAAGTCTTCATTCCCTGGGGTCTACAGGTCTAGGACACTGTCCTAAAACCGCCTTCTTCTGTTTGTGAACCAGGCTGGGGCTGGGTGTGGCTCAGCCCTGCTTCTTCCCTGAAGGCAGCAACATACTGTCACCGCTGATGTATTGCCTAACTGCTTCGGGCTCCCTGGCTAGAAATGTCCTGTATTTTTGACTTCTCAGGGGCTTTACCAACTCTCCTCTCCCTCCCTCGGGCACTCCATAGCCCATTCAGCTGGCCTCAATGGCAAAGCCCAGAGGCTGGCAGCCCCAGGCTGTTTCCAAATGAGAACTGAATCTGGCCAAGGAACTGAGCACTGGCTGGACTGGCAAATCACAGCCTGGGCGCTCCATGGCCAACGGCACCCTGCTCTCAGTCAGAGGCTTGTCCATCCCCACACTTAAGTACACAACCCTCTAATGTGATCCCTGGCACCCAGAGGGAAGGAGGGGGACCTTAGAGACCAGAAACTAACCATAGGGGTGAGAGAAGTCAGGCCTGTGCCCTGACGGGCCTTCCAGCAGCCCCAGCCCACTGAGAAGGACCAGAAGGTAGAGAAAGGGAGGACAGGACCAGCAGACAGCTGCTCCCTCCCTAGGAGGGTGGAAGTGAGGGCGCTGCACCACTTCGGTGTGAGAGACTTAGGAAAGTGCACACTGGCGAGGCATTCTGCTCCTTCTGGCCCCAGAAGGCAACTGCATTGCCTGGAGCAATAGAAGCAGCTTTCTTCTGTTCAGTGCAGACGGTCACAACTCCCAGAGAAACTGGAGGGGGTGTTGGCTACTCACTAGCAGGGAAGAGGGCTGGGACCCCACCCCACCACACCTGTGCATGGGGAGGGGGATGGGAGCAGGGCCAAGGAGTCTGGCTGGGCTCCTCAGGCCACAGGTCTGTGTCTTCTCCTCCTCTCATCCCCTTCCCCTGCCAACCCAATACTGCAAAGGCCTCTGACCAAAGGCGCTGACCACAAGGCTGCTGGCCAGCCTCAGCTATCAGGCTGGATTAGCTCTCTTGCATTTTGATTTCTTTCTTGCCTTTCAGATTTACTGAGGTCAAATCCACATACCAGGCAATTCGCCCTTTTAAAGTGATGATGTGGAGTTTTTTAGACCGCTCATGGAGTTGTGCGGCTGTCACCTGATTCATCTTAGAACATTTTCACCCACAGGAAAGTCCATTCTCACCAGCCGTCATGCCTCAAGTCCCTCCACTGCCCAGTCCATGGTGGCTGCAGCCTGCTATGTCCCCCACACCTGCCCACCAGGACGTCACACAGCAACAGGCTCCACTGTGTGGTCATGCCTGACTCACTCTCTCACTTAGCATCGTGTTTTTATATCACCTTGTTTTCTTTTAACAAAATTGCTTTCAGAAATGACAAATGCCCACATTCCTGGCAATCGAAAATACCTGTGCCCACAAAACACCCTGACCATCTCCAAACCTCATTCAGATGCCCTTGTGACAAAGACAGTCAGCTTGTAAAACATTTGGGCAATGTGGACTTCGTGGGGACTTCCTCTTCGAAGGCAACACTGAGAGATAAAAGAGGTGACACGCCCCTGCCCCCAGCTGCCCTAAGGTCTGTCCATTGACCACACACAGGGCTTGACATACGCAGTATCTCCAGCCAGCCGGTGCTGAGGTCGCTATAGTCAGAGTTGCCTCTCATTGCAACATGTGTTGCTTCTATTAATGACTCCAGGTGTTCCACAGCCTTCTCCCTGCAAGAGAGTCAGACTTTCCTCAGTTCGTGACCAGCAGGTCTCCTCCTATAGCCCTTCTCAGAGAATGTTCAGGTTGTATTCACTGGATGACTGAATAAAAAAGTGCCAGAGGACCCCCATGTTTACTGCTGCTTTATTTACGATCGGGAAGACATGGAATCAACCCAAATGCCCAAAAGTAGATGACTGGATTAAAAAGATGTGGTACACATAACAATGGAATATTACTCAGCGATCAAAAAAGATAAACACATACCTTTTGCAGCAACATGGATGGAGCGTAAAGGGATCATGCTTAGTGAAATAAGCCAGAAAGAAAAGGAAAAATACCAGATGGATTCATTCATAGTAGGAGTATAACGGACCAGGCCAGAAAATAATAATAATAATGAACAGTTATATACCAGAGACATTTTACGGGGGTGGAGTGGGGAATGGGATCAAAAGTGGGCACTGGACTACAGTGATGGCACATGGGTGATTTGGTGATAGGAAGCCCACAGGGATTACAAATAAAAATAAACTATCACATTATTAAAAATAAAATTAAAAAGTGCCAGAGGAGGGCTTCCCTGATGGTGCAGGGGTTGAAGTCTCAGCACTATCAAGCTAGCGCCAACCACTGCAGCCTGAGTTCGATCCCCAGCCCAGGAGTTGACCCACACGGCGCAACAGACCTCTTCTATCTCCCCACTGCTCCCCTTAGCAGTGGATTTCAATGGATCCACCTGTTCTGTTCCTTCCTCTGTCTCTGGTGAATCCTCTCACCCCCTGCACCTCTGGCCTGTACCCCAGTTCTTGTATGCATAAATAAAAGTGCTAGAGGACCTGGCATTAAAACCCGGCCGGGAGTTTTATTTCTCTTCCAGGACCTTCACAGAGTAGATGGTACTAAGCAGCTATGGTAGGCCCCACAGATGCAGACTTTGGACTTGGGGTGCAATCATACCCCAAGCCCCTTTGATGTCACAAAAGTTAGGAGGTAGGCAGATGACACCAAGTTACTAGGATAAATTCAAGGACCCGATGACCTATCATTAACAGGCACCTAAATGTTTTACTAGAATGTCAGTTCATTAAATGAAGTTTAAGAACTGAAACTTAGCAGCCATCTGGTGATGTCTTATGGGCATGAAGCCCACAAACTGCAGGGAAGAGACTCATGTGGGTTTAGGCAGGCCTGATACCTGTGATTGGGATCACTGCAGGTGCCACACACCCAGATTTTTCTTCCCTTCCCAAAGTCCCCCACTTTTCCCTATTTTTCAAAGATGTTAGTGATGCAATGGATGTAACAGTGTGGCAATCAGATCGACAGTGAGAGTCCATGTCACACCTGGTCAGATGTCTATTACCAAAAAAAAAAAAAAAAAAAAAAAGATATGGGCCCCTTTCCAAGGCTAGAAGGATGTGGAATGCTGTAGTCACTGTGGACAATAATGTCGGTATTCCCAATAAAAATTAAACCTAGAAGGCCCTTCTCCCAGTAGCTCAGCGGGTTAAAGCACAGCACTGAGAAGGTAAAGCCACTTCAGCATGAGTTCGATCCCCACCCTGGAGGTGACCCACATAGCGTGGCAGACCTCTCCTGACCTGCCCGCTGCTCCCCTCAGCAGTGTATTTCAACAGTCAGCCTGTTCTGCTCCCCACTCTGTCTCTGGTGAATCCTCTCACCACCCCTGCACCTCTGACCTGTACCCTAGTTCTGCATGCATAAATAAATAAATCTTAAAAAATAAAAAAATTAAAAAAAAAGAAAAGAAAGCAATCTACTTCCAGTTCAAATGGTCTTGGGCAAGAAGATGACTTTCTCACGCTGCTGCAGCCCTTTTTATAGTGTTAAAAGCAGTAGGATTTGGTGACCTGAGCAAACCAGCAGAGAATTCACATGAACATGGATAGAGTGGCTTTGGTCCAACCTAGTGATGTTTGAATTCACTCTAAATTGTTCTGGAAGTTTGCATTAATTCATTATTCACGATCACTTCTACACAAGTTTTTATTCAGACTGACTTTTCACCTCCAACTTACTGTCTTTAGTGCTCATGCAGTGGGTTAATTTTAGGCAAACCAAACACCTTCAAAGCACAAAAGGTTCACCTGTGAAACACTCACCTGAGCTGAGTGCAGTTTTCATTCACCCCAACTTCCAAAAGGCACCCAGAGATGGCGTTCTCACCAAACCCCACCGGCTTGAAGGCTGCAGCTGCACACAGACCCCTTCCAGCTACAGGGTAAAAGAACTGCCCGCTTAGTATTTTTTGCTAAAGAAAACCCAAGATTTAATTCAAAGCTTTTCTTGAAAAACAGCTAGAAAACAGTGGCAGTGAAACTTCTGGTTTTTTAGTACTCGTGTCACCATTACTGTGATCCTGCCTGAGCTGAGCAAAGGCGGCTTTCCTGTAAGTGGGAGGCAGGAAATTGAATGCCTTCTGCCAAGGAGGGTCATCACCATGGACACAGAGTGTCCATGTCTCTAGAGGATGCAATCTTGGGTGACAGGCAAAGAAAGGAAAAGGGCCTCTAAGCCAACCCTACATCTAAATCGCTCTTACTAATATCCAGCAATTCGGGTGCAAATGATGTTAACTCTCTTTTTTTTTAATTATAGAAGCATGAAAAACCTTCCCACCTCACCCTGCTTTAAGGGATTGATTACTTGATTTGATTTAAAATGTGGTCCTAGCAGGCCTGTCACCAGCAAATTACCTGCTTGCCAAAGGTTTAAAGTCGTGACGTTCTTCATCCCAAGGGCATTTACAGCTCGGACGGGCTTGCCAAGCTGGTAACCTGGCAGACAAAAGGAGTGAGAGTTGGCCTCTTTCCAGGGAAGTGATTCTGATGCAGCGAGTGCTGGGTCATCAGGTCACAGAAAGGAGGGATCCAGCACACAGAGAGCCCCAAACCACCATGAGAGGAGTTAACCACCTTCATTCCATTTGCTTTTGTTTTTTTAAACAAAAATATTTGTGTGATTTTTAAAAATAAATCTGAAAAGTCCAAGGTGGTGGGACTGGGGGGTGAGGGGGAGTAGACTGGCCTGCCCTGCATGCCCCAAGGCTTCATGGAAGACCCAGATCCAAGCCGCTGTCTCCTAGTAAATCTGTCAAGGGCCCACCCCTCCTTCCCTATCAATCCAGCCCAGTGTTTCCAATGCGTCCTTGTGAAAAGGTCACATGCGCGGAAAAGCTGGACCTGGGAGGTCACTGCAGCCACCCCCTAAAATCCATCAATAATTAGCTGCCTTTGTCTTATCTGTGATGCCAGCACAATCACATACACACCTGGATTTCCAGATGATTCTTTTTCATCACCACTGTTGTAGCTTAAAAACCTGACCGTGAATCTCTGTGCCATGATTCCTAAAAATAAAATAAAAACAAGGAGCACAATTTAACTAGAAAGTCCCTAGCATGTTATTTTTCTTGCCCTTATAATTACATTTGACATGCACCCAAAAAAAAAAATCTAAGTAAATCACAAACACATAAGAAGCAAGTCTGACTTAGTTTTGTGTAATTACAACAATCTTGAAGAGGTGGGAAAAGTGTTTTAAACTGAAAGCGCCTCCATGACCCTCAACAAAGTTACCTTTTTGCTGGGCACTGACGGCTGCCTGGATAATTCTGACGTTTATTTCAGTGATTGTATTATTATTCCACCTGAAAATATAATGTTCTTCCACATTCACAATTTTGGGGATCGGTCCAACATTTAACAGTGTTTCTGCAAATAGACAAACACCTTCATAAATGAAAGACCCTCTCTGCCTGTGTGGCCCTCTCCCTACACCACTGTGCCCTGCCTCCGCAACTCCTAACACGAAGGGGTGGTCCTTCCTGGGGAAGCCTTCAAGCCAGGGCTGGGCTGCCTTAGGCCCAAGCGACAGTCTAAGTGGGGGGCAGCCTCCCTTCTAGCTCATGAAACTCAGGGCCCAGCCTGGCTTCATGCTTTGTTCAGTAAGTGGTGACAGAAAAGCCAAGCCTGCTGGCAGGCTCACTGCAATGTGCTAGGCCTGCTGCTGGTGTTTGAAGAGAAGAACAAACTCGAGAATTATCACACGTGGAAAAGAACAAATTGGACCCCACATGAAAACACTATCCTCCATCAGCCAGACTCCCAGAACTTACTCACTGCAACGCAGTTACAAAGACATCAGAAAAGAGAAGTAGTAAGGAAAAGGGGCTCAGAGGAGTCTTTATCTGGAAGATATTTAAGAAAGTGCTCAGAGAACCAGAGGACAAGAAGGCACCCGGAGGTACATGTCTGGGACAGTAAGCATGAGGTCAAGGTCACAGAGAGATGGAAGAAGGAACAAAGATGACGCAAGGGGGCGACTTCCTAGTGGTGAGCCTCCTTCAACTGTCAATACAAATGTACTCTACTCTGGGGTCTCCCTGGTTGCAAAAGGGGTTAAGTCTCAGCACTAGGAGCTACTGCCAGCCAGTGCAGCACTAGTTCAATCCCCAGCCAGTAGCTGAACCACATAGAGCAGCAGACCCCTCCTATGTCCCTGCTTCTCCCCTCAGCAGTGTGTTTCACTTAGTACACCTGTTCTGTGCCCCACTCTGTCTCTGGGGAATCCTCTCACGCCTGCACCTCTGTCCTATACCCCAGTTCTTATATGCATATATAAATAAATCTTCAAAAAAAATGTACTCCTCTCTGGAACTATGTGTTCCTTGGAAGAAATGACATGTATTTCTGGAGAACGATATAAATGGGGGGACATTAATATACTTGTACTGGGGACCTCCCTGGTGGCCTAAGGGTTAAGTCTCAGCACTGTCACCGCTACAGCCTGAGTTCAATCCCCAGCCAGGGAGCTGACCCACAGAGAACAGCAGACCTCCTGTCTCTCCGCTGCTCCCTTTAGCAGTGTGTTTCAGTGGATCCACCTATTCTGCTCCCCGTGCTGTCTCTGGTGAGTCCTCTCACCCTCCACACCTGGCATACACTCCAATTCTTCTCTGCAAAATTTTTTTTAATTAAAAAATAAAATACCGGCCCTCCCTGGTGGCGCAGCGGGTTGAAGCACAGCACTGAGAATCCAGGGCCGCTTCCGCATGAGTTCGATTCCCGCCTGCCCCGGAGGTGACCACATGGTGTGGCGGACCTCTCCTGGCCCGCCCGCTGCTCCCCTCAGCAGTGTATTTCGTCGATCTGCCTGTTCTGTTCCCCGCTCTGTCTCTGGTGGGGCCTCTCGCCGCCCCTGAGCCTCTGGCCTGTGCCCCAGTTCTGTATGCACGAATGGATAAATCTTTAAAAAAATAAATAAATAAATAAATAAATAAAATAAAATACCAGGCCCTCCCTGGTGGTGCAGCAGGTTAAAGCACAGCACTAAGAAGCTAACGCCACTTCAGCGTGAGTTTGGTCCCTGCCCTGGAGATGACCCACATGGTGCAGCAAACCTCTCCTGACCCGCCCACTGCTCCCCTCAGCAGGGTACTTCACCAGTCAGCCTGTTTTGCTCCCCAATGTCTCTGGTGAATCCTCTCACCACCCCTGTACCTCTGGCCTATACCCCAGTTCTGTATGCATAAATAAATAAACCTTTAAAAAATATAAAAATAAAATACCTGCACTGGTGATGTATTTATTCAGGTCAGCTGCTTTCTCGTAGGTGACATCGGGTATGACATTGCCTAAAATAACACATAAATTAAGTGCCAGGGACCAGAAGCCAGACAAGGTCACATTGATCAAGCACATGTGCTGAGGAGCCCACCCTGTATGCCAGCCTCAAACTTTCCCCAAACAGTGAAAACTCCAATATTCTTGGCATCTAATTGCAACTGAGGAGCAGAAGCTCAGGGGTCAGTGATGAAGGGGGAAACCTGTGCTCAGGTCAGACCCAACGAACAGGGCAGGGGGCAGAGGTGCTGGGCAGTGCTATCACTTTAGGAATCCGTTTGGTGGTGTCTTGGAAAGTTAAACCACCTCCTCGTGCTGCAGTTCCACCCTGGTACATGGCCAGGAAAAATGAAAACGTTGCCACCCACTTGCTCACATGTGAGTGTTTGCAGAAGGACTTGGACAGCAGATGTCAGACCCTCCCACCTGCCCAGAGCTCATGCTGGGTACCAAGGTATACGTGCAACCAGCTGTATAAAGGAAGGAGGCTCTGGTCTTTCCAGTGTGGCTGAACCTCAAAAACACTACACAAGGGGCCCCCCTGGTGGAATGGAGGTTAAGTCTCACACTATGACACCATCACTTGCCACTGCAGCACCAGTTCGATCCCCAGCCAGGGAGCTGACCCACATGATGCTGCAGACCTCTTCTGTTTCCCCACTGCTCCCCTCAGCATTCTATTTCAGTCTGCCTGTTCTACTCCCCACTCTCTCTGATGAATCCTTTCACCCCTGCACCCCTGACCTGCACCCTAGTTCTTGTATGCATAAATAAAAATAAACTTTAAAAAAAATCAAAAACAAAACAATATGCCAGACCTTCTACTTAGAAGACATTTGTATGAGGAGTCCAGAACAGGAGGCAGGCTGGGGGAGGGAGAGGGAATATTGCTTGGTGGAATGGGGTTTCCCTCTGGGGTGAATATTCTGGAAGAAGACGGCAGTGGTGGTTGCAGAACTGAGTAGTTGTCCTGACAGCCATGAGCTATGACACCAGTCACTTTTGCATGATGTGAATTTTACCACAATTTTTTAAAAAAGAACTGAAATGCAATGTGCTGTCTATGAAATTAAGTTTTTTTCCAAAGGAAACCCATTTCTGAGCCGGGCACAGAGCCGAAGCCTAGATGTTACGGTGAGACCATGAGAACAGGTCTGCGCAACTTTTCACACCCCCAACTCACCTCCCGAGTGGCCTGTGGCACCGTTGATCACATCATCAATCCCGTCTTTTTCTTTGTAGGCTTCCAAGTACGTAAAGCATTGAACATCAAGGTTGTGGAGGAAGGCCACAGGGGCATCCTGCACGCACTGCCCGCCCAGGGAAACCTGAGGGAGGGAAGCCCCCACCAGCTGTGGCTTGCCCCAAGACATAAGAACTAAGGGGCGTCTGGGGAAAGCCCTGTCCACCAGTCCCAGCTGCTGGGCCACGTGGAGGAGGGCTAGTTTGTGACAGGATAATTGAGGCCTCCAGCTCTCCTGGGGATTGCTCATGGGAGTCTGGAAGCCACAGGGTGAGGAGTAGCCACAGGGTGAGGAGTAGCCACAAGGTGAGGAGAAGCCACAGGATGAGGAGTAGCCACAAGCTTCGTTAGTGAAAACAGAAATGATTCCCTGCTCTGCACCATTTGCTCTGCAGAAAATAAGTCAACTTGTTTTTCCCTCCTCATTACCACCTGATTTTGGTTAAAACCATAAAAATGGTTTTCCATAAATAATGAAGAGAAAGGGCTTAGCTGCCCTCCTATGTTTTCTTCCTACATATATGTTCCCCTCATAATTTTGAACTTCAAAAGTATTAAAATTTCACATAAAGTACCAGAGCCTTCAAGTAACTTTCAAAGTCCTGGAAGGCTACATGAGGTGGCATTTTTTTATTCTTCCTAGTAGTCAACTATTAAACTAACAGAAGTGAAGAGAAATGGCTACTTCCACAAAAACATTAAAATCTCCTGGTTTTGTTTAGCAAATACATGCTGATATTTAGCAAAGACAGTAACCAATTTAAGGGTAAACACTAAAAAAAATGTAGAGACTAAATGGCCAAGTGCCTAGAAAGTCCATGGGACTTAGGGAGTAATTCTTAAGAGCAGGAGGAGTTAAATTTACAATAGGGTAGGGAAAATAAGAAAAGGCCCCAGCAGAGTGAGATCAAAGTTCTTACCTGTGGGACAGTGAAATGTGCCTCCACGGTCCTGATGGGGTCCCCTTGCTTGTATCCAAAGCCAGAAACGCTCTTTGGGTCCGTGGACACGTACATCCCCAGAGCAGAGGGCTGGCTAGAGGAACTGTGAATTCAGACGAAAGCCCATCATAACGACGCTTGACTTATATCTGCTAAAAAAATTCTCCTTTAAATTTTTTTTTAGTTTTTTAATTACAAAAGTAATACTAAATGCCACTAAGCTGTTCACTTGGAAGTAATTAGTTATTTACTGCAATAATGATAATGGGAAAATTGTAAAATTCAACAACACAGAAAGGTGAAATACAGAAAGTTACAGTCCCTTCACCCCATAAACCCCCTCTTTCCAGGCAATCACTGTCTGGACCCCCTGCTTGCTCTCTGGATCTCCACTAAAACCCAGAAAACCACTAGTAACTGTTTGCAGTATCAACTTATTTTCAATGAGTCTTTCAGATACTTAACACAAACTAAACTTACTGAATGCTAGATTCAACCTTGATTCTAGAAAGGAACAGTTTGTGCGTGGAGTCTCCAGCAGAGTCCTGAGAAATATGTGCCCCACCTTGTAGGGCCCACGGCCTCCCTGGGATCGGGGTACACTCACGTGGCCCCATGGTAGAAGTGTCCCAGGAAGGGCGAGTTGGCGGGGGGGGACATCACACACAGCAAGGAAAACCAATCAGGCCTTCCGTGTGCCAGGGGCTCCGCAGAGCAGAGCTGATCAAATGGGGGGTCCACGTCACCTCCAAAAACACCAGTGAAACAGGAGTCTCTGAAGAGCTCTCGCACAGCAGGCAAGCATTCCTTGAAGGGAAGTGGGAGGAGCAGTGAGACAGAAGGGGCTGCACGTGCCACAAGGTCTCTTTCTGGGGTGCTGGCAGCCTTACAAAATTAGATTGGGGTAATGACATACAGCTCAATAAATGCATAGAAGTCACTGAAAGGTGTGTTTCCTCCCCTATTTATGTTTTCTTAAAGGCTTCAACTCAAGATACCAAGACTATCCAGCCCACCCCGGTCATCCCAACATGACTTGACCCAAAGATACGTCTTTGTTTTCTCTCATAAACAAGACTGATGACGCTGGGCGAGAAAACACTGCTTCCAAGGCAACTCGCTGCCTCAGTTCGGAGAGCTCATCCACTGAGAGAGTCGCTGACGGGGAGTGGCTTTCATCTCTCCCTTGGGAGGCGCACCTGGTCACAGCAGCAGCGCACGTCACAGGCCCCGGCTGTCAGATTGCAGGGACACGGCCCCAGGGGCTGATACACCTGGTTGGGGATGACAGTCGTGTTCTCTGTAAGCACAAACAGGAAGGCTCAGTGATGAAACCGAGGCTAGCACAGGGCCGCATCTCCCATTCTAGGCTGAGCCACGGCCTGCAGGGCCCCTTTACCACATGCTGCGCATCAGGGAGACCCTGAAGCCAGCTCCCAGCCTCTGAGGCTGTCTCCAGCACACCACAAAACCCAAGCACAAGTTATCACACTAGCAATACTGGGCCAAAGAAGTCACAGCTAACCCTGAAGAGAATCAACTGGCCGAAAGGCACCCACTGGGACAGGCGGACACCTGATGTCACTTCTCTGGGCTGAGCAGCCCTTCCCACAACGCAGGCTATCATGTGGCCTCCCTCACACATATTGTCTCTTTGGGCAGGTAACACTGAAGCTCTGGTGACAATCCAGGCAGCTTCCTGGCCCCTGTCAGACCACATAAGGTCACACTTTACTAGGCGACATATACAGCCTGGGGAAATCCAGGTCTTCACCTCCTGATTCTGGTTCAGGTGTGAGGAAACTAAGTAGGTCAAAGGGAGAACCTGGAGGCCACTCCAGCCTGCCAGAAGTCGACTCCCCGTGCCTGCCTACCACAAAGCTGGGCACCCTTCCAAGAACTCAGGCCCCCCAAGTCACACTCAATCGCAGAGATCTTTCTAAAAAGCACAAGTTAAACCACATCACTCTTCTGCTAAGAGTGTTCCCCAGTACCCTGTGATCTACCCCCAGCTTCCTTGTCCATCTCTGAGAGACAGACAATGGGCCCCTGTGCCCCTCCCCTTTGCAGGCAATGCTCCAGCTTGCTGGCACCTGTCAACCCCAGCGCCCTCCCCATGGACGTGCACACTCCAGCGCCTCCCTCTAGGAAGCCCCGTGGCCCCATTCTCCCCTCCTCTGCCTTCTATGGTTCCTTGGCTGAAAGCCCCCTCCCCAGAAAGGCCTCACCTAACCTGCAGGATGGGACAGGTTCTCCCTTCCCCACCCCCAATGACGATTTCCTGCTCAGCACTGATTCCTGTTCACAGCCTCTGCGAACGTGTGGTATGTGCGACTGTGACTTGGTATTTAAGCTGTAGGAGCCATGAGGATGGGGACCCTCTCTTCCAGTTTGCTTTATGGTCCAGTCCCGGCAGGGGCCCAGTCAATACTAGTTGATGGGGCAACTTCATTTCTTTAAAAGGGCTTCCATGAGGTGTGATTCACACCTGGTGTGAATTTGCCCACTTAAAGCACAGTGTCCTGAGACACCTTCCATTCCCTTGAGAATAAATGTACACTGTGCCTCAGTGAGAGGACTAAAAATTAGGTGCCCCTGTTTCTGTTAACAGTAATAATTTTTTTAAATCCCAAATAATAATATTAAAAGAGTTAAACTTGGAGGGACAAAAGTGTATGATGAACTCAGGTACACTGGCTCTGGATGTTTAAATGTCCAAATCATACAGTTTCCAAGGGGAATAATGTACAGACTCTTCCCTAAAGGGACCTCGGCCCACTCTTCCCTGAAGCAATGTGAGAAACTGTCCTCTCAGAAGCTCAAATTCCATAAGAAAAATTGCAAATTACCTCAAATTCTTGAAGAACATTCTACCTCTCAAAGATAAGTATGGCCCAGCACTGTAGAATAGCATCAGTATAAGCCTGATAATTTTAGATTGCCTAGAAGCCCATACTACAAGAAGTAAAAAATAGGTGTAATTCATTTAATAACTAAGTCATATGCATTAATAACTAATTAATGTATGTTGACACAGCTATGCAACTTCTATCGACTGACAAATTCCAGATAAAAAAGGAAAAGCTCTGAAAAATCAGAATTTCCACTGCTAACTTCTGTTATGACCTCCCTTTTTTGTATAATCATAATATCAAAATATTCTGAGCAACCATCAGTTTACAACTGGATTGCCTTAGTCTCATAAGGTGGCTGTCTGGCCTGGAAATTCCTCTGTCTCCTGAGACAAAAGGTAAGCCCCAGGAGAAATAAGACCCCAGGGCATAAAAACTCCTGGGAAGCTTCCTTGGTTTCTTTAAATAAAAAGCAAATCTCAGATAAGACTTCTAGGGCATAAAGACTCATGGGCAACTTTTAACCTTGATTACAGAGGTGTTGCTTAATACACAACTGTACAACTTTCTCTTAATTTACTCCTTTTTAAAACAAGCACTAACTACTCTGCTAGCCTTAAATTAGCCACTAGCTTTTCTTTAGACAATCTCTGATAACACTGCTAACACAATTTATTACTTCCCTAAGACTCCTAATAACCTCTTGCTAACAAGCTCATCCTTTCCCAGACCCCTCTTCCCTTGAGTTATAGCTAAACATCTGTATACATGACAATTATCACAAAAACATATAATCTAGTATATCATAAAAAGTTAAGAAAAAAATACTTTGTTCCCCTTGTCCTTGAGAAGATTTATGACAATTCATGGCAATCTCTCATTAACTTACCCTCTGCACTACTGCAATTTACTACTTGCTAGATAGTATAAATAAGGACCTGCTGAGGGAATGAGAAGGGAGACTTGCACCCAACTCCGACTCCGTGTCTTCCTTGTGCCCGCTCCCCTCTCCCCTTTTGGAATCTCTGCTCACCAACGCCTTCTACCTTAGGGCCCTGCCTGTCTCACCTCTGGACACCTCGATAGTTGGGGCTGGTCCCCAACAGTATGTCACATATCTGTGGCCTACTGCATCCTATATTCTAAATGCTAACATGTCAGCAGGTAGTCCAGGTGAAGTAGACTGAGTTTATGTCATTTCACACAGTTCCCTAAACCCATGAACTCAGCTCATCTCAAGCCAGACTTTTAAGTGCTCGGCCTGCAGGACAAGAAGGAGGAGCTGCTTCCCTGGGAACCCCCCATTCTGTAAGGAGGAAAGGCAGGTGAGTAGATCACATGACTGTCAAAGGGTCCAGGCACAAGAGATACCCAGGAGAACACTTTACTTAGGTTGGAAGGAAAGGGGAGATCTACCTAGCAGAGGAGTTTGCCCAGGTAAGAACCAGGAGGGAATGGAAACATGCCCTCCACACTGAAAAGAAACCTGGAGACCCCAGCAGGACCTTTACCCTCAAGGAGCCCCCAGCCAAGGGGCTGGATGCCCAGCCAGGTCCACACACAGGCAGCAGTTAGAGAGGCTGCCAAAGAGAGAGAATCTAATAGCAGGGAGTGGGTGGGGCAGGCCAGAGGAGAAACCTGCCCCATATGAGAGAGAGAGAAGGGGGAGGGAAAGAGAAAGTTCTGGGTTCTCTGCAATCAGTTATCAAGCAGATCTACTGGATTTTACTTTTATCCTGGGATTTGGCACATGCCAGAAAACTGTTCAATCATTTCTTCCAACTCTGTAGCAGTTAACTATAAGGCCATGCCGGTGGAAGCGTCTACACAACGACTTACAGGGTCTATGTGGTAGCACAGCAGAAGCCCAGTATATCGACGGTCTCTTGAGCAAGGAGAAAGGTGGGTTACAGGTCTGACACTCTGTGATCGAGAGCTCGCATGACATAAACAGGATATAAACAGGTAGCATAAGAATATGCTACCACATGACATATAAACAGACGTTAGTGCATCTATTTGTCACCTACTTTGCTTGCCAGCATCCTTGTCACTGAGGACACCACATACCTCTTACCTCTGCTTCCATCTTTCTCCTAGTTCTGCTCACTGTCTGACTTCATACAAACCTGTTCATACCTTCACAGGGTCAGAGCAGGCAGCTCATCATTACCAATATACAAAGACTTCCCTAAGTCACACACAGGAAATCCAAAACAGTACCTAACAGTCAGACATTTCAAAAAAAAAAAATCAAGTCATCACTTTGCATGGCAGAACTACAGTGGATTCCTCCTATTTTTTTTTTAAACACCCACTGGATTTGACTTTTTTATTTGCTTTAAATTTTATTAACTAGAAAATGATCAAAATCTTTATTTCCCTGAATAAGAGTCACATGATTCAAAACATCAAAGGGGAGGCAGTGAAAGCCAGCTACCTCGCCCCTCCTGGCCACCCAGTCTGTAGCACTGGTTTACACAGCACTGCTAGAAGCAAATTTAAATGTCTACTCTCCTTCCCTGCTCTCGGCATTGTCTGCTTTTGCTTTGCTTTTGCACTTAGCCCTGTATCCTGGAGCTCTTTCCACACATGTAAGTGCAGTGGGAGGCAGAGTCACCCGCTGAATGGATCTATCACAACTTAGCTAATACTCCTAACTACCCAGGGCCACTAGAATGTGAGAAGGGAGGTGACACCAGAATGCGAGCAGGGTTTGTTGCAGAGGCCTAGGGACATGGTGGTGGCACCTATCAGAGCCACCCCTTACTAATAGCACAACTGAGGTCTTTTGTTCTTAGAACACTGCCACTCTTCAAAAGGGAGAATAATGCAAAAATGTTTTCCCTGTCCAGAGATGCCCGCAATGGGGTAGGTGCTGTAGCACTTATTATGGTATCAAAAGAGAAAACTGTCTCAACTTCCTTCACAAAGAGACTAGTAAGCTATGGGATGTAGCCACACCATGGAATACTATGCAGCTGTCAGAAAAATGAAGTGAGCTACCATTGATGCCTCTTACAGTGCATTTACTCATATGAAACAATCTCAGCAACTTTAAAGTATAGAAGAATGAACTTCATGTTACTGTTTTTGGTTGTTATTTTTTTTTTAAAGAATGCAGTATGTGCTTCGGTCCGCCTAAGTTGGCAGACTGCCACTGAGAAAGGGAGCTGCAGGTAAAAAGACTTCAAGGAAAATTCGCTATATTCTGTAAACTCGCTCAAAAGTTTACAGGTGTTTTTGACTTTAAAATGGAGTTATGGGAAATAGTAAACAGAAAACTCCTCTCAAAGAGGATCTAAGGTAGCTTGCAAAGATACAAATAGAAAAACAAGAAAAAATAAATCTTAAGTAAAATAATACAAAACAGAAATTTGTCAAAAAATAAAAGAAAAAAACATTTAGGAAGGCAAAACCGACTCCAGAGTGAAGCACACAGTACTTATCATCAAATAGATGATGTTTAATCATCAGAGACTTAACTTACCTGATGCATTCTGAGCCAGAACAGTGCTGGCATAAATTTCCACTTGGATGAGTAGATGTGCTAAGCAGGAGGAACCATGATATGCTGACACCAGAAGGGTTTGGACAATACATGGGGATGCTAAGAAGAGATCTGTCTCATTCGAGGAACACCGCTGCTGATCCCCCTGCAGCCTCACCGTCACTACCAAGGCATCCTGCAAGGGAAACATTGCTGTGCTTTCAAAGAGACTCGAAGAGTGCCTGCAAGTATGAGAACACACAATGAAAACACAAGGAATGCACACATCAGCCTCGGTTCATCTGACAACAGGAGAATTGGATAGGGAGTTGACCAAATTTTTCTTCAAGCTGCCCTATACACCCTTGGGCTGATACAGGCCCCAACTCCTAATCCTCAGGCCACCACAAGAGCTAGGGACATGCAGGGGAACACAGGCTGCCCAGTCTGCACAGCTTGCCTAGCATCTTTCTGGTTTCTTTAGTGTCTGACCAGCAGATACTATGTTTCTTTGGGAAATAGGGACTTTTCTTTTGAGTATAGTCTGTCTTTCCCACTCTTCATCAAGTTGACACCTCGCCTATAGTAAGCACTTGCTCAATGGAACGTTTATTAATGGAAGCTGTCCAGTCTCTCCAGACTGGGGCATCCTTACACATAAGCTCAGTGTTGAGTGAGAGCTGTGGTTGATGAAGCTGTTTTGAGTCAAAGAGCCATGTAATGATGATCCCACAGAAGCTAGCAATACTCTCAAGAGAAAAAAATGCACATACACCCATAAATTTATGCAAATTTCAGAGTTTCACAGACCCCATTTAGTCCATCGGAGGACCTCACCTTAAGGTGAGAACCTCTAGGCTAGACCCTATAGCCCACAGTTTCATAGTGGCCTGAGCACAGAGGAAACCATTCTATGCCAAAAGAGCTAAGGAGATGATATGTTAATTTACATGGAAAACCCTAAAAACTCCACAGAGAAACTAATCAAACCATCAACCAGTTTAGCAAGGTAGCAGGATATAAAATCAACACACAAAAATCAGAGGCCTTCCTATACACAAACAACCAAACAACCATTTCAGAAGAAACAGAAATTTAAAAAAACATCCCCTTTTCAATTAAAACAAAAAGAATCAAATAACAGGGAATCAACCTAACAAAAGAGGTAAAATACGTTTACAAAGAAAATTACAAAACACTGTTAAAAGAAATACAAGAAGACACCATAAAATGGAAAGACATCCCCTGCTCATGGATCGGGAGAATTAACATCATTAAATGGCCATCCTGCCAAAAGCAATATACAGATTTAATGCCATCCCAATAAAAGCCTCAATGACATTCTTCAAAGAAATAGAAAAAATACTGATGAAATTCATATGGAACAACAAAAGACCTCGAATAGCCAAAACTCTCATGACTAGGAAGAAAGAGAATGGAGGCATTACAATCCCAAACTTCAAGCTATACTACAAAGCCATAATAATCAAACCTGCATGGTACTGAACAAGAACAGACATACAGACCAGTGGATTTGAATAGAAAACCCAGATATAAACCCACAGGTGTATGGAAAGTTAATCTTTGACAAAGGAGCAAAGAAGATACAATGGAACAAAGAAAGTTTAGCAAATGGTGCTAGGAAAACTGGGAAGCTACATGCTACCTCTCACCATACACAAAAATCAACTCGAAATGAATTAAAGACCTAGACATAAAAACGGAAACCATAAAATACCTGGAAGCAGAGACGGGCCAAACAATACACGACATACACTTCAGCGACATCTTTAAAGATAGAGCACCCAATGCCACAATAGTGAAGGCAAGGATAAATAGATGGGACTACATCA